GGACAGAGATGTTTTATTCTCATTGGCTGAGACAAGAAAGAGCACCCAAAAAGTCATTTTGTAGATGTATGGCCACTCAAAACCATCATGCCTAGAAAGTCTAAAGGAAAGGAAGGAAGGAAGGAAGGAAGGTATATTATTACCTGGAACTGGGTAATTTATAAAGAACTTGTATTAGTCTGTTTCTGTTTCTTATTACAAAATACCTGGAACTGAGTTATAAAATCCAATGTTTCACTTTTTAACATGGGGTTTGATTTTTTTCCCCAGTTGGCGGGTGAATGGCTTTTCCAGAACCAAAACCCTCAGTGTTGCACAACCTTGCTGAATTCTCACCAAAACCTGATGAGACATTTTGCGAATTTAAAAACTGAGCCCCAGAGAGGCTAATTAAATTGCCTAAGATAACACAGCTAGGAAGAAGATAGAAGACAGCAGAGGCAGAATCCCAACTCTGGTTTATCTATAACATTTTTGTTATTTAAAAAAAAAAAAAAGAAAAAGTAAAAAGACCTCTCACCACTAAATTCTGCCTCTGTTTTTCCATTCTAAGTCTTTGATGGCTTAGTGGAAATAGCAAGTACCTATTGTCTTTCTACCAGCCTAAATGAGTTATTTTGCTTCGCTTTTAAGTGATAGAAAAAAGTCTTTAAAAAAAGGATGATTTTATGTTGTTCTTCCACCAATCAGGGCACAAAAATTTTGAATTTTAGTATTTGAATGTTTTAACAAACATGGAAAATTTTGTGGGGGTTTCCTCCCCATTCTTACTTCATTTTCTCATAAAGCATGTGTGTCTCCTGCTCGTGCACACACACGCGCGTGCACACACACACACAGTCTTTAGGGTGAGAAAAGAACAGGTCTTTGAAAAAGGGCAATAGAAGGGAGAACAATACATCATCTAGTCTCACAGTTTAGGGAAATAAAAAAGGGAAAAGCAGCAGTCAGCCAGTTATGCTGACAGCCCCTTCCAGCTGAGCAGCAGTTCCTCCAGTGCTGACTAGGAGTGTTTGGGGGAGATAAAAGTCGAGCTGTGTGCTGAGCCTCTGACCTGGTTTTCAGTTCTAGACAACTTCCTGGTGTGGTTGCAGAAAGTTTGACTTTCCAGATGTGAGCATGAGGGTTTCCTTCTCTGGCCCGCAGTTGCTCTCTGCTTTAAGGCAGATTTGGGGAGTGGGGGGGCAGAGGGGTTTAACTTTCCTTTTAAGGTTTGCTGTAGTCTGCATGCTGATGAGCTGCCAATTTGCATTCTCTCAACCATCACCTGCCCACAGCACCACCATTACCCTACTTCTTGGGTTTCTGCTTTTCTATTTTCTACCTGCAGCTATTATTTTTTCTTCTCTTTCCTTTTTTTTTTTTTTTTTTTTTTTTTTTTTTTTTTTTTTTTTTTTTTTTTTTTTTTTTTTTTTTTTTTTTTTTTTTTTTTTTTTTTTTTTTTTTAGAGCCTGGGGAATTCTCTGCTCTCGCTGACTTTTTGCTTCATTCAGGCAACACACTATCTGTCTATTTCAGTCAGAGAGCTTGGATGTCAACGTCGTAGGCACATGCTTGGCTTCATGAGGAATAATCACATGAGGAGTGGTCTGCATTCTCAAAGGTAGACTCTGGGGCTCTCCTGATATCCCACTATTCAAACCAGAGCTCACTAGGAAGTTATTAAAGTTGGACCTCCGAGTGTAGAGTGCAGTCAAGGAAAGAACACTGGGTTTGGCTCCTACCTCCAATGCTTGTAAGCTTTGTGACATGCGGCAAATTCCCTACTTGGGCCACTGCAAGGATTAAGTACCAGGGTATATGGTAAGCATCATCTAACAGCAGCAAAAATGTTAGAGTCAGACAGCTGATGACCATGACTCAGCTCCACCTCTTAATAGCCAGATACCCTGGGCATATCACCCACCTTGCTTAAGCCTCTGATTCCTTATGGGTAGATCAGAGCAGTAATGATACCTGCCTTGCCAGGTTTTGAGGATTAAGTGAGATAAGTCCGATCAGCTGTTTGCTTACTTTCAAAAGTACCAAGAGGCCAACTGTTCCTGTTAAACCCTAATCTACATCTCCTAGTACTGCAAACAGCAGTGATGAGAAACCATGGTTTATCCATGTATTGGAGAACCCTGCTTTGGGCTGTGAGATGATCTGGCCCTTGGTCCAATATCAAGCATCAGGCTGAATTCTGGTCAAGTGCACAATGAGAATATTATACCCTCCAGAAAATATGGCACCTTGTGAATTTACATACAAATTTCCCAAATATATAATATATATTTGTACATGTATATGTGCATGTGTGTTATCCACTATAGATAAAAACCAAAAGAACCAAGAAAAAGTCTTTGTAAGTTTTCCAGCAAAAATGACTGTCTTATTTCTTCCCTTGTGAGAATATTATTTTCAGTCCTAATTCTTGATTTCATCAGTGAAAAAATAATCACAGGCTGTCATGACAAAAGTTGAAAATAAGCATAGCAGTCTAGGTACACATAGGTACACGCTTGTGAGTATATGTGCACACACAGCCCACACATACATATGCATATGCATGCACACACACATTCATCACCTCTCCTGACATTATAAGGGTTGGAGCTGCAGGGAGAATCAAGCATGAACACAATCATGAAGTTCACTGAAAGATTGTACCTCTCGTTTGATGGTGGTCCTTAACTTCGGGAGTGCTGAAAGTAGAGGAGTCCAGGAATATACTTTTTCAACAAGCTCACCGTATATGTCTAAGAAAGAAAGTCTGTAGATCATACATTGGAGGGACACTGTCACAGCAGTAAAGGGCTTTGCTTTAAAAATGTCTACCTCCCAGGAAGTGGAAACAACCTTCAGATTACATCACAAATAATAGAGTGTTGAGTGGGAAATTGGGATTGAGACAGTGGCCCAAGCTACTGGAGACGTATCTGTAATGGTTTATTATTATTATTTTTTTACATGGAGAAGGCTTTACTGTTTAATTAAAACATTGTTTTAAGAAATACATTATAGGTGGAATGAGGCTATATCTACCTTTCAGGCATTGTCCACAGAAAAATAACAGCTTCTGTTTCTTTTTTTTTTTTTTTTTTTTTTTTTTTTTTTTTCCTTTTTTCCGTGTCCGGCAACGGATCGCAACCCTCAGTGTTGCCCCCGTACCGGACCGGGGACCGGCAACGGGATTGCAAGCCTCGGTGCTGCTCCCGCGCCTCGCTCAGCCAGTGAGCGGGAACCGGTCTAATACGTGGGATCCGAACCCTCGGACGGGAGCGCCGCCGCGCTTCCCAAGCGGCGCACCATCCAGTGCGCCACCGGGCCGGCCCAACAGCTTCTGTTTCTACACAAAGCATATACATCACATGCCGGCTTCCCTTGGGGTTATTTTCTCATCTCTGCCCATGCTCCAGGTGGAGGACTGGAGAGGGATGTGAAACATTTCCATCCATTGTCTAGACTTTTAAGAAATTTCTTCAATTGTTACATTGTTTTAATTTTCTTTACATTTCACATGAAATTTATATGCTTATCTCCATTTTAGAGAAGAGCCTGCTTTTGGACATTCTAATGTAAATTACTGTTTTTGCCATCAAAACATAATCCTCATATTTAGTGGGGAAGACTCTCAGTTATAAACTGGTATTTTACAAGACAATTATCTCCCTCTTGCCACCTGCCAGGATAAATCTAGTGCCTTCTTTGTTTTAATTAATATATCCTTACATGTGAGTATGTTGTAAGGAAAATTCTAAAAGCCCTGGTTTAACCTAACTACCTCTACCACCATCAGCATCATCACCCATAATAGAGCAGAATTTTTGGAAGAGGGAACAACCTTCAGGGTCAGACAGATCTTCATGTGGAGCCTGCTTCCAAGAGATGCTAGATTTTACTTTAGACAAATTATATGATGTATCGGATCCTTATTTTCTTCATTTATAAATAAAGGTAATGCTAGCTTTCAAAACCCATTGTCATAGGGCAATACAAGTTGATTATAACCTGCATGGTCTAGTATATGAAGAATTTACAAAGAAGGGACTATTTCATATACTTGAAATGGTATAATTCATGCTATTAAGACCACCTGTGGTGTGGAAAGATCTGGAATCCTAGCCTTGTCACTTGCTCAGTGTGACCTCAGATAAATTAACCTCTTGGTGACTCAGTTGCTTCATCTGTAAATAATAACAGCTTACAATCTATGAAGTACTGCTGCAAGAACTTCACATTGTTTTATATTTTTTGTGTAACGGTATTAAGAGGTAGGTGCTATTATCATACTGAACTACAGATGAGGAGACAAATGCACAGCGCTTTGGTTTGTAGGTGGCAAGGAACAGAATGAGGATGCAAACCCAGAATATCTGCTTCCAGACCCCACTTTTCTTCTAATCTTTACATGTGTACCCATTTTATAGGAATATTAAGACAGTTATGAAATAAGATAGGGTTAAGATACTGTTAAGTAACTGCATGGGTTAGGTAGTTCAACTCTGATGGGATTCTTAGATGATTAAATGAAATAAGGAACACAAGAGCCAGAGCAGGATTCTGGGTTCACAGTAAGCACTCAATAAATGTAAATTCTAGCACCTATTCCTATTTTTTCATCTTCCTCATGTAAGTCCTCCCCAAAAGTTGTATTAATAACTTGAGCTTATGTTTCATTTGAAATGCACAGTTTTGTTATTTTGTTTGAAACCAGACTGACATTTCCATGCTGGGGAATAGCTAAGCTTAGTTTAGTTTCTTTCTTAAACGTCTGTGGTTAGTTCCACTGTCTTCTTTGGAAAGATGAATGAAGAAAGAAAACACTCTGAACTGAAGAAACCAGGCACCTGCAGGAGGCATCTGGTCTACCAGTGGCCAAGGCAGCCTATAGCTCATTGGCCAGCATCTACCCACGCCCCCTGGTGGGCAGCAGTGCAATCACATGTGTAGATAAACGTAGAATCTACCCTCTGAGGAAACCCACAGAAGCAAAAGGACTCAGGACACAAACTCACATGTACCTTTTCAGACTAAGCTTTTATTTTTTGATATTACAAACCAGTTTTCTTTATTCACAAACCACTGTAAGTGATATAAACACTAATTTCTAAAGACAGATATACACATTGTCTGGGTTTGTAGATTGCGTGATGTGTGTTAAGAAGTCACTATATGCCACACATGATATTAATCTTTTTTTGTTCCATAATTCATAATAGCAATAGTTATTTAGATAAATGAAAACATTCCAAATAAATACTGTTTAAAAAAATCCAAAATGTTTGTTTACATCTCTGACATACATTTTAAAATGACTTATTGGCATCTTGGAGGAGTGCCTAGACAGAAAATTCTGCAACATCGGTTGGCACCCACCTGCTCTAAATGATTTTTATTGAAACTACATACGACCATGGGGGAAAGTACAGCTTGCTGATGAAAATCAAAACTGCAAATAAATTTTACTTTAACCAACACGGTAAGAATTCTATGTTTGTGATTCCAAACACAATGCAACTTCTGGATTTTGAAATCTGAGGCAATTGGGAGAAATCTATTTATTCTCCTAAGCCCCCTGTTCCTACTAACTTTCTCCCCTCTAGGCTAGGATGCCACCTCATTTTAATAAATTGTTTCCTTTAACAATATCAACCAGGCACCCATTTTCATAACATGTTTTCCAGGTGGGGGATGAAAATGTCTTAGTGATGCTAGAAAACACCCCTCTGCCCCTCCCCTCACCCACCCAAATAAGTCTGGTGAAAAGAACATTTTGTATGCTTTTGGCTGCTAAGCAGTTTCCCCCCTTTCTCTCTGTTCAAGACAACTGTGATCTGTCTTGGATATCGAAGCTACAGAAACTTTGTTTTCAAATTTTGTGAAACTTTATTGATGGTTTAATATCCAACTGATCTTACGGCATGCACATAGGATGACAAGAGAAAGCTGGATCACAAACACTTTTTTTTTTTATAAGTTTTGTTTGGTTTTGTTTTAAAGCAGAGTTGTTACAGCAGATTGGCAGGTTCACAGCGGTGAGTCGATACCTTACTAAAGTGCACGCCATAGGGCCTGCACTGTGTACATGAGGATTTAACTAGGGCAGCAAAACTACTTGGGACAGCTTGCTGCTGTTTGTATTTAAATACAAAAACAGGAAGACCCATGACGGATACCCCAACTTAGGTTAACTTGTAAACAGGACAACATGGAAAGAGTTCAAACAGAAGTAGTACAGACAAACTGCAATTTTTCGGCTGTGTCACTCTGGCCCTGCATTTGAGAAGGGGTCAGGGGACTTTGTTCTTCGGGGATAAAGTGGACCTACTTTTTTTTGCTTCCTTCTGACAAGTGTCCTGGGCCTTGGAGATGGAACTGAAGAAACTGGTCTGAGATAGTTCTTGGGTTTGGGGAGAAATGGAAGGGCAGGTTCTCACGGACTGAAAAATTGCAGATTGCTTACACAACGCAGTCAGTGTTTCAAAAAGTACCAAGCTGATGAAAATACCATAATTATCTCTACTCAATGATTGCAATACTTGTAAAATGCTTCTATAAATCCGAATATGATTATCATGTAATTCCATAAAAATTATACGTCTGTCTCTAACAGTTGTTCTACTAGGCTAAAACTAAAGCTCATAGACTGTTTCTAGAACTTAACAACTCCACTGCACAGATGTAAATTTTATACATTTTTTTTAACTGGTACAAAGAATTTAAGTTTTTATTACTTTCTCTTTTTTTGGAAAAAAAGAAAAAAATAGAAACAGTGCTTTTTATCACCTTTTTATTAATGTTATTTTTTCCCTCCCAGAATATAAAAGTCAGCAATGATATCAATAATTTATTATACTGGAAGAAATAT